AGTGATTAAAAGAATCCAAAGGTATTACACTATCATGTCAACTATATTTTATTGTTAAAATGTATTTATTTGACTAATTTAAGAATGTTTTTAAAATAATTTTGGTTGACTATAAATTTGTTTATAAAAACCGTTAAAAACCCGCAACACCTGATCATTCATTCTGAGATTGGGCCGCCTGTGGTTCATACAACTTTTATCGGATTGAAACAATGAACTAATTCCACATTGAACGTGCATGAACAGAAATATTTTCAGTTTCCCATAATTTAAACCTCGCATACAAATCAATCTGATCGACCAAACGTAAGAGTTTAGCATGCTCATGCGTGCCTATAGGGATGCCCTAATTTCTCGCCATGAAGTATACATGCAGAATTAATTAATTAAACCATGCATCTCCATAGTAAAAATAACCTCATCATCCGTGCTTCCAACTTGGTGTCGCTTTTATTAATAGACCCTTTCCGAATTTGCTGATTAGCAACGATATATCAAGATTTTTGTGGCACCTCACTCGAATGAATAATATTTGATGGGTATTGTAGATGAAAATTGTCGAGTGGAAATTTATATACATTTATTAGATCTAAATTTCACAATTTATTACATTATTTGCCTTGATTTCAAGCAAAAAATGCACGTTCCAATTTGGTTTTCATTACAACGCAATTAATAATTGGGTATGCTTCAATTATGCTGTTATAACAATACGTACTCAACTAACCTTCAACCAAGATTTCCCATCTAAAGAATATTCCAAATCCAGTTTCCCATATCCTCGTCTGACGTCATGGCCCCAAGATGGAATATAACCTCCAGCCACTGTGACTGATGTGACGTTGACCGGACGAATATAAGTCGCCTGCACGTAGTTCCCAGTCTTTGCTGTTTCACTACCCCAACCACCAGTGTTTGTTCTACCGTCAGTCAAATCACGCGATTTGACGTGATAGAGTTTGTTATAGTAACCACTTTGGGCCACGAAGTAGTCATTCAATACATATATCTCCATATTCTTTTCCATCTGAAATGAAATAATATAAGTTTCGCGAAAATTTACGTCTTACACGAAAATCCAATTACAACTTGCATATATTTGTAGTGAAATGTATCGACTGCGAAATCCCACCTATATATTGCTCAACTAGCTCGGTATTCCCGGTTGCTCAATGAGTATTCATCTTCACAATAATTGTATTTAATTAAAGAACAAAAACACTTCCGGAAAGTGCACTTAGCATTGGCAACAGGCACCTCGCTTACGAGATCGAGATTTGGGCTTTGAGCTGTTTATTTTGCCATAGGCAATTCCAGCTTTTAGTTTATGTGTGCAGGGGACGATGGGAAGTGAGGTATCGTATTGCTAATTATGCTGAAAAAATAAAAATGGTGGCCGTGTAAACACGGAGTGAAAGCTTATACTTGTAAATATTGAAATATTTCGGTTGTTTCGGTAGTTTTTATTGAAATTTTTCAGCAAATCAGCAATATGATATACCTTACTTCCCATCATCCCCTGCAGACATAAACTAAAGCTGGAATTGCCTATTGAAGACCTATATAATTATAAAGGTCTTTCATATTATCTAGTATAACTGTATGCATGTATATATATGTCTCGTAATCAGCGGATAAAGGGATCTAAACCCGATCTACCAATCACGCCAACGATGACACGGCAACGGAATATGACCAAGGATAAGTACATTTTCTGGAAGATTGTATTGTATATAATTGCTGCTAGCCATACCAACTTGCAACCATGCATACATTCTCGCGGTATTGACTGAGGTGAAGTAGTTTTGGCCTATGTCCCGTTTTATGTGTTCTTCACCGCAAATTAATCATTAAATGTTTGTAATATTTTTTGTTATATAGCTAGGGTGAACACCAAACGTGATTGGCTGATTTGTGGTCACGTGACTTCAGATAAATGCAATGTATCCCTCCGGCCAACAACAGAAAAATTGTTGCCCGCTCCGACCGCTTCGTACAAAAATAAACAAAATGGCGGCACAACTAACATAATTAGAAATTACGATTTTCCAAGTTTGTGTTCAAATAAAGGAGGTAAAAGAGAAGAAAAATACACAACAGGCAACAGGATATGCTGCTGAAACCGTTTAAGTATGTTCTTTTAATTTTAAACTCGTTTACACTATAGAGTTTCGGTCACGAAATACAATAGACCTTATGCATAATGACGTCACAATGCTTGATGCCCGCGAGGAATGCTGGTCTTAGTAGTCATCAATTGTTTAATTTTCCTGGGCTATGACTACTAAGACCGGCATTCCTCGCGGGCATCAAGCTTGGTGACGTCATTATGCATAAGGTCTATTGCTGTATGAATGTTGTTGAATGTTGATTTTTGTTCGTCGCTATATAACAAAACGCTTAATAATGTCTGTTCCCTCGGGAAACAGTTACTTTTGTTTTCCCTCGAATCTCAATGTTTCCCCTCGACTTCGTCTCTGGAAACATCGAGACTCTCGCGAAAACAAAAGGAAATATTTCCCTCGGGAGCAGACATATATAAGTGTATACTATTTACCGTACGCGTATACTAAATTCGTGTTCCCCCAAAACATGCTAACAAATCTGTTTCAATGATACCAATCCTCTCACTCCATAATATTAATGGAAGAGGGATATAATCTTCCAAGAATTCTAAGGATAGAGAACCGGTCCAGATTCTAGTTCAAACCCCGCTCGAGAGCACAAATTTTTCGTTGTTTTCTGGAGGGTCAGAATTAATAATTTCTGGTGCTCAGAATTGCATGATACTGTGGTAGAAAGTAATGCTTTAAGGATAATACTGATTCTTATACCTTGGCACCAGGCTTTCCTTGAACTCCTTTATGTCCCTATAAAATTATCAAACAATCATCAATATCGGGCCCACGAAATGCGTCTTCTGCACCGTTAAGGCGAGTACAAAACGGTCGCAGGGAGCTTCTGATATCGTGATATCGCGTAGCAGAAATATGGAAAATGCACGAAATATTACAGAAAAGCATAATTATGGCTAATTTTATACATCAAATGTTTCTGGTCCCTTTTTAAATGGGCAATTAGCGAATGGTCATGATTCAGTAATTTTAGTCATGTATTTACCTTCGAGCCACCTCTCCCTTTCGGTCCTGGTTCACCCTGTATGTGTTAGGAAAAATAAGTATAGATATTCATTTACATGATCCGGACAAGCTTTGCCCTCGAAAACTACCAAACCTAACAACCCCAAGTACTCAATTTGTCAAATTGAAATCGATTTCCGAATTGTGGAGACGATCATACATGAAGCATTGCAGATAACAAATAGAAAATGTGAAAAGTGAAAAACTCCTACAACGTTTTTTCTAAGGAGGTTTGCAATGCTCACCATTATGCGGCAAAGTTAAGGACTATAGGGAGAATTTGTTAACGCAAGGATGTCTAAAATGTACTACATGTTATCTAACTCAAACTGCAAACTGTACAGCTGCAATGATGAGATGGACAAGAGGAGAAAAATAAACAAACATGTTTTGTGATTGAGACTTTTACAGTATAAAAAGACTTTAACGATTTGTATAGTTACATCAAGGAATTAACGTCGGATGCGGCAATTTGCCGTACCGGCAGCATGTCTGAAAATGACTATAACGTATACATTTTAATATTGTGTTAGCATCTCACTCGAAGTTGAAGGGTCTTGTAGATGGAATGTATAATAGTTGAAGGGTCTTGTGAATTTTAATTTGCCAAAGGACTCTAGAATTTATTACTCGAGCAAGTACGGCGGGCAAAGGAAAACTAAAGTCCTAATTAGCTGGATGTTAATAGCTATAGATTATTATCCAAGTATTTATACAGAATACAGTTCATATTACCGGCATTCCTGTAAGACCAGTGTAACCCCAGTCACCCTACAAAAACACCAGGGATGAGTAAATGATAATTGTACTCGAATTTATGGCACGGTTCTTATGAAAACCCGTGCATTCTTTTATCACAATGTTGATATGAAATTACTAGGTCAGCGATTCTAATCAAAAGGGCACAAAAGCAACGTCAAAGCATCGTTAACAGTATCTTCGAAGAATAAATAGCTAATGTGCATGCAGTTATCGAAAATACAGAAATATACAAATTTAATTTACCAATACAACATAGGGAAGTGCTAATAGGCCCAGTGGCGTAACTACTATGGGTTCGGACCGGGAGAACCCGGAGGCCCCCAACTCAAATGGGGGCCCCCAACTCAAATGGGTGCCACCGGGCTCAAGCTGCAAAAATATTGGCCTCTGACATGCTATAATGTCGTTTTCTGACCATCAGAGTTCTGTAAAATTAATCTCTCCCCAAAGTCCGGGAAATAGCATTTCAAAGAGTCTAGATTAAAAAAATTTCCGGGTGAATGCCTGTACCCCTAGAAAACTCGTGCATATACGGCGCTCGACTTGTGCCTTTGGCACTTCTACTATGGGGGCCTTCGAAAATTTTGAACCGGGGCCCCCTGATACAACGTTACGAATGTGTACCGCGCGCATTTACTCGATTAAACGCATCCCTCCAATAAACGCCGCTCTCATAAGACAGTGAACTTTTCAGAAGATGAGAAGAGACATTAATTTAATTATGTTCTTAGGGTTTTGTTTTAGGATTTAGTATTAACCCGCCCTGGAGGGGCCGCTGTAATTGGTAATGGCTGTTATGGTTTCCCAGCCAATGAATGTATAAGTATGATGGCAAAGTAAATAAATAAACGCCGCATCGCAATTGGTTGGGTATAGGTAAGTAGGTATAGGTAAAACTTTATTTTATTACGCTAACCCCTACAGCAAAGGCTGATTTACAAGGGGGGCGTAGCATTAATTCAAATTTACATTAACATACAAATACAGTTAATTACAGTTATTACAATTACTTACATATTAATACATTTTAGTATAATTACATAGGTGATTATTGAAAATTCTCCACACTGATTGGTTGCCGTTGAGGTGATTATTACGCGATAATCACCTAAGCGATTTTCAAAATGGCGGCCGAAGCCTTTTTGTCAATTAAATGACAAAGAAATGTGTATTTTCTTATTTTTTTCCAAATAATCACCTATGAAATTATACTAAAACAATTATTCACCTCAGGCTCGGTGATTATCGTGAATAAAAACCTCGACTTCGTCTCGGTTTTTATTCACCGATAATCACCTCGCCTTCGGCGAATAATTGTTAAATAGTACTAAATATTAATAGATAGAATTTAACTTTCTGATTGCCTCAGTTCCGGATGAGACTTTTTTGCAATTTTATCAATATGCTTTTGCCATCATAGAAATTCATCAATATAGACTCCAAGTGCCTTTGTTTCTCTCACCCTTTTTATTGGTATGTCACCAACAAATACCTTTGGGGCAGCCAATATATGATTGATATTATGCCATGATCCAATTAGTATGTACTCAGTTTTAACGATATTTAAATTTTGATGACGAGTGTTCAACATTCTTGATGACGAGGCAGATCGTTTATACAGGGTGTATAAAAAAACTGAACAGATTTGAAGTTACTGTCAATTTCTCAAAACCGCATTAGTATCCAGTTTTTGATATATATGGCTTCCTTGGGTACTCATAATGTAGAATAATGAGAAAAAATTTCGCGACCACAAATTTTGTAAACCAGGAGGGGTGTCTTTTCCGACAAACTAAAAATGGATCGCGCACGCGATTTAAATGCTATAATCGTATTTTGAGTTAATGGATGAAAAACGTGCTTGGTGAATTAATTGCTGCACGACATTTCAAACAATTTGCTTCAGTTTAAGCCCTCAACTATCCACGCAAACTTACATTTTTCCTAAAAAATCAGCAATTTGCATGCTTAATGCTTTGGCAATTTGCATATGTCAGCAATATGCAAATTAGTAAAGGCATTAATTAAGCATGCGAAAGGCTGATTTTTAAGGAAAAATGGATAGTAAAAGGGCTCAAACTAAAGCAAATTGTCTGAAATTTTGTACAGTAATTAAAACTACCCCAACAAATTTTCCATCCATTAACTCAAAATACGATTAACTTAAAGCTTTTAAATTTCGTGCGCAAGCCATTTTTAGTTTGTTGGAAAAGACACCCCCCCCCCTGGTTCACAAAATTTGAGTTCGAGAATTTTTTTTTACATTATTCTACCTTACAAGTACCGAAAGAAGCTATATACATCAAAAACTAGATACTAATAGCTGTTTTCCGAAAATGAGAGCAATTTCAAATCTGTTCAGTTTTTTTTAGTTTATACACCCTGTATAGTGTCCAAGAATTGAACCTTGGGGGATCACATGAAAAAGTAACTAAATTGTTTTGGACAATACGCTGTTCAAAGTACACATTTGAAATCTGTTTTCTTAATCAATATAATCATGATTCATAGTATCAAATGCCTTCTGCAAGTCAAGAAATACTGCGATATTGAATTGACCACAGTACGTTCATATTAATGAACCATTAGAATAGAATGGAACTACCTAAAACCAAATTGATTTTGAGACAACAAATTATTAACAACAAAATAATCATATAATTGACCATAATCACCATATATAGACAGAATGGAAATTGGCCGATAGTTATTCAGCATGTTTCGACGGCCATTTTTGTGTAAACGGATAACTCTGAAGGAACATGAAAAATATGCCCGGCCACGGTGGGAATCGAACCTACGACCTTTGGAATACTAGCCCAATGCCCTGTCAACTGAGCTACGCGGTCAGGACGGTTGGAGTAAGTGATATTTTGGAACAGAATCTAGTTCCTTCGATACCAATGTAATCTAGTAATATGATTTTTTTCTGTGCTGGTGTTGTGTACTCAGGTGAATATGATGTTTGTGATGTTACTCTGAGTGTACATCCACACCGGGCGAGCTTGAAAAATATGCCCGGCCACGGTGGGAATCGAACCTACGACCTTTGGAATACTAGCCCAATGCTCTGCCAACTGAGCTACGCGGTCAGGACGGTTCGAGTAAGTGATATTTCGGAACAGAATCTAGTTCCTTCGATACCAATGTAATCTAGTAATATGATTTTTTCTGTGCTGGTGTTGTGCACTCAGGTGAATATGATGTTTGTGATGTTACTCTGAGTGTATATCCACACCGGGCGAGCAGGGGCGGCGCTACAGGGGTGGTGTGGAACACCCCCCCCCCCCAACTCGTCAGCTAATCGGCAAATTGTTATCTCAGTCGGCAAAACTGGATTGGCTAAAGATAACCACTGAAGAAACCAAAATTGACCTCCTGAATAATTGAATTCAAACCGAATATCACGAATAGCATGCATCAAAGAAGCCACACATGCAGCAATGCAAATTTTATTACGGTGTTAGGTTTAAAAACTGACGGGTATTGTGTTTTGTGTATATACGTTAGATGTTTGAAGATCAAATTTCGCCCGTCTGGAGTTAAAATTTGGCTCCAACTTTCGAATTTTCCGGCTGGAGGTAACGTTCCAGTTATATTCCGATTTCAATGATTCGTAAATTAAATGCGTGATTAATAGTGCTCCAAGACGTGGAACAGATTTTAAGAAATGCCGAGATTTTGACTTTTCGAGGGCTGCAAAATGGATGCCGACAGGAATTTTGGGTTTTCTGATTATGCGTCTCTCAGAATGATGCAAATGCCATTTTCAGGATTCAAATTTAAAAATTTTCCGTGCCTTCGGCACGAGCCTCCCCCCCCAATATTTCATAAAATGTCCGCCACTTGCACACACGGTGGCTTAAAAGGTCTTAAAACTGTTTATTCTACCGATAAATAAAGGGGTTTTTATTGACTGGGGTTTCAATAACTCGGACTGGGATTTCTAATAAAAATCCAACTGGGACTGGGATTTTGCCAAAATTTCAGGTGGAAAATGGGATTGGGACCCTCCCCCCCCCTTCAGGACCCTCACTATAGGCTAATGACTCGGCAAAATTACCAAACAACAGTCGGCAAAAGATCACTCACACACCCCCACTCGAAGAGAGTTAGCGCCGCCCCTGCGGGCGAGCGTGACAAATATGCCCAGCCACGGTGGGAATCGAACCTACAACCTTTGGAATGCTAGCCCAATGCTCTGCCAACTGAGCTACGCGGTCAGGACGGTTCGAGTAAGTGATATTTCGGAACAGAATCTAGTTTCTTCGATACCAATGTATTCTAGTAACATGAGTTTTTCTGTGCTGGTGTTGTGTTACTCAGGTGAATATGATGACCTATGATGTATCACCTGAGTACACAACACCAGCACAGAAAAAATCATATTACTAGATTACATTGGTATCGAAGGAACTAGATTCTGTTCCGAAATATCACTTACTCGAACCGTCTTGACCGCGTAGCTCAGTTGGCAGAGCATTGGGCTAGTATTCCAAAGGTCGTAGGTTCGATTCCCACCGTGGCCGGGCACATTTTTCAAGCTCGCCCGGTGTGGATATACACTCAGAGTAACATCACAAACATCATATTCACCTGAGTACACAACACCAGCACAGAAAAAATCTGAAGGAACAGTTTCAGTATAGATTGCCGCATTAAAAATTCTTATCAGTGAATTTGCAATTATTGGCGCAGCAATACGAATAATCTTAGCGGGAACTTTTATCAATTCCAGTAGATTTACAAGGATTTAAAGAGGAGAGAAGTTTGGTGTAATTTGGTTTCAGACACTGTTTGATACTTGAAACTCAACTTGTTGTTTTTATTATGTAATAAATGACGCGGCGTTTAATCGAGTAAATACGGTAGTCATGGTGAGAAGTTAATCGTATAATATTATACATGATTACCAATCTTCAACATCAAATATATATATATATATATTAATAAAGTGATCTCACGACATTTCTTCCAAGTTAATTTATTGAAAAGAATAAAACAATTATATGAAAATCTCAAATCAGTATATTAGAAATGGTTGTGTTCGAAAGATTTCTATTGCAACGTTCTGTGCAGTATATTGATTTAAATGTGTGCAGAATTGAAAATATAACATTTTTGTTTTCAACTTCGCATTACAAGACGCGGTGTTATAGCACTGAACGTCGTGAGAAATGGCTTATTAATGCGACCAATTAAGATTACAAACAAATGAGAGGAGCAGTAGGAGCCCCCCCCCCCCCGCACTTTCGTAAAATGTGGTCATAGTTAGATTCTTCCACTACCGGTGAAAATGAGAGCTTCTAATTTTCCTCAAATGGCATACCCATTCTCTAAATGTAACAATTGAAAGATTCTTTTAAAAAGTTCCTTACCAAAAATACGACATGATTAATTAAATAATTATGATTCTCTATATAATAGACTGTATAATTTTGATATACAGATGCAACTTTTTCAGTTCTTATAGAATATGTAACTCAACTGTAAAACAGTTATTAGACTATATAGAAGAATATTCGCGATTTGCAGTGATCCCGGCCCAATGTGTGCCATATTATTAACTGCATATTAATATAATTTGAATGCATACAAAATAAATATATTAATTAAAGGAAACACTGAAGTGTGCGTCCAAGTTTTAGTAACTGAAATTTTAAACTGCTTAACGACGGAGTCTCTGGCATTTTTCTCTGTCTTATTGATGTTCGTATTAAAGAGGTTCCACTGTCGTGGATATATAATTAATTGAATAGTATTCCAGTGATATACTTACCGAATCACCACTCGCAGCTGTTTCGCCTGGGCCACCTAGTACTCCCTGCAAATATTATAAACATCAAGCTAACACGTTATTATCATACAGGTTTGGGAATTTTTTTATTCTGCTGCCCCAAAAACAATGCCTGTGTCTAACAACTTTGACCAACACAACTATTTATAATATAGCATTTGTAAATTCTGAACGCTGATTGAATGGCCGAAGAGCCGTGTTGATGTAACTCAATACACAGTGACCCAGGCTCGTGAGACCAAAATAGCCAAGACTTGGCATACGTCACACGAAACTATCCTCGATTTTTCGCTTTTAAATGCATTTCTTTCAAGATTAATCGATATCCCCTGCAAGAATGATATCATACAACTCTTAAAACAACGATGCTTTAATCAGAGAGCTTAAATTCGCTCTAAAATCCGTGAGGGAATGACAAAATTCGGCCCGAACAACTCACAATACGTTCACTGATCACCACTGATACCAACAGATACCACTGATCTGATTGGACAACGAACATTTCAATTTTTTCTCCACTGGGAGGGGGGACAGTAAGAATTTAAATCAATCATTATTTAAATACGGATAGTTTACCCTATTTGACAGGATGTTTCAGCGTAAAATTATATACAGTGAATAGTTTTTCATTGTGGTTTCATATAAACGTTAAAGGGATATTGAAAAAACGGCCTTTTTCATATGAACATCGAATTGAACAATGACAAAACAAGCAACAATGGTGATTTTCATTCGCCGACAAACAACAATGGTGATTTTTGTCAGCGAGCATGCGATTATGATTTCAAAAATTAAAAACAGGTAGGCAGTTGAGTTCCTATAATTCACAGCATATTAAATTAACAGCTAAATTACTGATTGCCAAATTGAATTGTAAATAAAATGTTGATTGTTTACTATAAAACACAGGAACACTGTTAGTCTTATTGAAATTCTCGCCAACAAGATTCTTGTCGTCTATATTCCTATTCCAAAATTATAACGGCTTATTGACCGAGCGTGAGGTCTGTAGTGACTGTACTGTGAAATATCAGACCGAGGTTTTTTAGTATGCAAAAAACAGAGGTCTGATATTTCACAGTACAGACCGAACAAGCGAGGTCAATAATCGGTTTATTATGTGGCTGAACTGAGTCTGTGAGCATATGCTTTTCGCGCGAATTAAATCGGCTATCGTCAGTTTCACTGGGTAACAATATACGGTAGGCATGCTTATTGATCAAAAACAATTTGGTTGTTTGAAATTTTCATCTGTAAAGCACAATTGGAAATTAAAAAGCAAAATTTTTTTCTGTTTGCAAAGCAAAAGCGACATCCGTGACACCGGTCAAGATACGGAAAATACGGACCACGGCCGGATATGGGTTTTTACGGACCGCTTGTCAACCAATCAGAATAGAGAATTTTGAAAAGCCATATAATAATACATGTTATTGAATAGTCACCGATTGGGATGACCACATAAAAAGACCACGTCAAATGCGATACCCGAAACCCTCTCCCCCCGGTTCAAACCTCTTCGATTCGCAACGGCTTTGATAGTAAATAACATATTTTTACGTCCTGTGTTAAAATGCAATGCAAGCCCCGAGATGTGGTACTCAGCAATGGAATTGGTCTGACTAGTACTGAGATGGAAATTTTCCATAAAGCCTCTGCCTTTTCAAATTCTATTAAATTCATGCCAATAGACGATAAATCAATTAAAATGAGTTGTTTAGGCCGTCGTCGTCGCGTAATTATGGAGCTTAAGCATGTAGGACGACAACACGACGACGGTATACGGCAACCCCTAGTCAATGAAAATAATTATAAATAAGTAAAGTCCCATGCAGGGGCCGAGTTTCAGAATTATAGTCGTCGCTTTGTTTACAACGTACGGCAAATCATAGATTTTCACGTCTTTTATATACAACGCCTGCATTTCAAGCTGTAATTAACAAGTTCAACTTAAAATTCGGTTCAGTAGAACTCTTCCCAAACATAAAGCCAATGTTTTCAACTTTTATACTGCAGTACTAACTGAATTCATAGGAATTATAATATAATTACGACAAGTTTTCTTTACTATCATTTATTTGAAGGAATTTGTTTTGGCCGTCGCGCGCGTCGTCGTGTTGCCGTCCTATACATGCTTAAGCTCCCTATAATAAGTCGTGTTTACACTACAAGCCTTGGCCTACATTTTAACAGTGTAAACAAACTTTGGCCTAGCCTTGGCCTGACCTAGGCCAGGAAATCTGGGCTCACTACAACCGGTGGCCTAGGTGTAAACACTTTCGGCCCTGGCGTAAACATTTTCGGCCCTGGCCTGGGCCTTATAATGGCAACGTGTGTCCACAGTGAGAGATCAGCGGACAACCAGCAGACAACGTCACAATTTACACATAAAAATACACAAAATTAATAACAAAATTCTAGGCCAAAGTGAGCCGGCTATTAGTAAAACACGGAGCACACGGAGTACGGAGCACACGGAGCACGGAGCACAAGGAGCACGGAGCACACGAAGTACGGAAATCGAAAAACGAAAATCCTTTATAATAAAATACACTGTTTACTATTACAAATTTTTGTTCTTATTAATAAAGTTTTTTCGCGTTTTACACGTTGGGGAAGTAGATAAATGGGGCTTTTATAGACTTGCTCCAAGTCTGCCTCTTGGATGTTCCTAATTAAAGTAACTTGAGTTTTACTTTAGTTTTACTTGAGTTTTATTAGTAGCAGGCGAGCGGAAAAGGAGCGAAAAAAAGCGGGCGGGAAAATGGCGGGCGGCGCGGGCGAGGCGGCGAGGAGGGAGGGGAGAGGCAGACTTGTTTCCCTTGCAGCGCGCCAAATTTACCGGCTGATTTTTCAACCGGAGGCGTGGCCTATCAATAATATGATTCATTCGTTTCATTGCGTGACATTTGCATGTTCGAGACTTTTTGACAAACGACAAGAAAGTAAACAAACTCTATACGGAGATGAGATCAATCAAGGATGCTATTATTTACGGAGCAAGTAAGTGTGGTTTCGATACGATCAGAGATCAGCAGAGGCAAGTTGCCGAGGCATATCTTTCAGGACGAGATGTGTTTATGTCTGCCCCAACTGGATCTGGTAAAAGCTTCACGTTTGAGATTGCTCCCTATGCATTTGATTTTATGTCAAGCGATCCTAACGCAGTTGTTGAAGAATGTCGATCAGTATGTCTTGTTGTGGTTCCTCTCATTGCATTAATGAATGATCAAGTCGCTTCTTTAACTTCACGAGGACTATCAGCAGCTTGTGTTGGAGGTGAATCAGAATGCAGTCCAGATCAGATACGAGAAATTTGTGAAGGCAAATACAAGATCGTATTTGGAACTCCCGAAGCACTGCTTAATAACCATCGTGGTATATTCCGAAGTCCTCTTAAGAAGCATTTGAAAGCCGTATTTATTGACGAAAGTCATTGCATTGCAAAATGGTAAGCTTTTATATTACTAGCTTTTCAGATAGACTTGCTCCAAATCTGCCTCTAGTTGGATGTTTTATAGTATAAATTACAAAATGAAAAACACATTATACCAAGTGAACATCATATCGCACATATATATATATAAATACATAAACAGCCTCTTAAATTGACATAGAGTTTGACCGGAGTTCGTATGGCTGTGTATAAATATTTTATTAGCAGACTAGTAGTGCAAATTCATATCTTTAATATTAAATAAATACTATATCAACTTTTTTAAGGGGAACCAATACCAAAACTGAAGAAGCCTTTAGAAAAGACTATGGACGGCTTGGGGAACTTAGGTCATTGTTGAACCGTAATGTCCCATTCATAGCATTGACTGCTACGGCAACACCAGATGTGAGAGCAATTATTGTGAAAGATCTAACCATGAGAGACTGTGTTAGGATTATCAGTGATCCCAACAAGCCGAATATCAGGTATGCAGTTATTGAGACTGATCCAAGTGATCTATATGGAACATTTGGTCATATTATTGATGACATTCGGAAGAATAATATAAAAGCATCAAAAGTGTTAATTTTTTGTCGTAAAAAAGAGCATGTTAAGGACCTGTATGAGCTGTTCAGCGAACATTTGGGTACACATGCCTATTACCGACCATCTGACCAAGAACCAGTTGATGATAGATCGAGGATTTTTGCAATGTACCACAAAAAAACGCACAAACTGGTAAAGTCAACAATTGAAAGGGAATTTTGTGAAGAAGATGGTATAGTTCGTGTTGTGTTTTGTACCATTGCATTTGGAATGGGTGTGAATGTTAAGGGTGCACATCTTGTTATTCATGTTGGACCATCTGGTGATTTGGATGATTACCTCCAAGAGTCTGGTAGAATAGGACGAACAGGGAACCAATTAAATCATGCCATTCTTTTGCGTTACAAAGGATGCACTAGAAGTAAGAATATAACCAAACAAATGAAAAATTATGTAACTAACATATCAGAATGCCGACGAACTTTGTTGCTTAGACCATTTTCATGCACCACAGAAGCAAGTTCTACCTCTAGTATTGCAAAACATTGCTGTTGTGATGTGTGTGCAGAATCCTGCAGATGTGTATGTATTTGTGGTACAAGTGTTGACTGTAAATGCAACAACTTTTGTCCCAAACAACAGTATCAATCAATTGCAGAAATAGCAATTCGAACAGTACATGCTGAAAAGAACAGTGTTAATACGACAACAAAGAAAATAGTGAATGTTGTCACTGATGAGCAGCTGACTTGTCTTCAGGATCATCTGATGGCTTATCGGTCAGAACTGGCACAGAATTGTTGTCACGAGAAGCTATTAACCGGACTTGATTATGCAACAGGTTATTCATCCATGCTAGTCAATGACATTCTGAAAAATATTAAGTATATTGAGAGCTTGCAATCACTAAAGAGTCAATTCTTCTTTTACAATGATGAACATGCTGTCAAAACTTGGGAGATTATCTGTGATGTTTTGTCGCTTGTCACTGAACAAGTCACTAGTTCTAATGAGACCAGTTCCATTGCTGTTGCAGGTAATAATGGGGATGCCAGTGAGAGTGCTAGTGATTGTGACAGTGAAGACAGTAACATTAGTATTGCAGAAAGAACAGTAAGACTGCATATTATAAGTAGTTCTGAAGGGGAGGAAACTTGCTCAGACTAAACTATGTTATGTATCTTTAATTAATCAGTTTCATATTTATCTCTTATTACAGTATATATAGTATTAATATTACATTTTATACTAGAGGTGTGCGTCGGATCGGATTGACCTCTCTCAATCCGATGGTTTGTCTAAGTTCTCAATCCGAATCCGATCCGAAGATGAAAAAAGTAATCCGATCCGATCCGATCCGAAACAATGTTTATAAAATCCGATCCGATCCGATGCTAAAATTCGTAATCCGATCCGATCCGAACTTAAGTTGTGTACGCTGTACAGCGTGCGTTAATTATTATGAACGTATTTTTTCATGATCATAAACGATATATATTGGAAATAATGAATTTCTAGCAAAAATAAGCAGATACGAATCCGATAAAAATTGCAGGGCGATATCACATAATTATGCCTTATAGCTTTCACATTTACAGTACACAGTAACAGCAGTTTATATTTTATTAGAATTAGCATAGAAAAAAAACCCAACTAGTCAAAAATGTTTTATTCAGTATAATAAATCATGAGCTTGAGCTAGGTTTACATTTTAAAACATCTTAAAGTTTATCACTAATAAACCTCATTGTCAAGCTTCATGATACATAAACCTAACAAACCAAACAAAAAAACACAACATTCCTAAATTTCCTATATATCCAATAATATGGAATTACTTTTATGCTCAAAGCCATTGTGAATTCTGATGCCATTTGTAACGTAAAAAGTGGAATACAGCTGCAGAATATAGAACTTTCTCAATTTGTAAAAATATTCGAATAATTCGACGTGATACAAGAAAAATCAAATCCGAACCGATCCGACAAAAACCTGCAAAATCCGATCCGATCCGACAGAAACAAAACGAAATCCGATCCGATCCGAGTAATTTACTGTCCGAATCCGATCCGAATCCGATCGGATCGGATTCGGATCGGATTCGCACACCTCTATTTTATACAGTCTAAGCTGTGTGTACACAGCTACTTTCCGATTTGTCGTGAGTTATACAGTGTATGTACACAGACACAGTGTATTTACATTATGTTATCTATTGATAACAAATATAAAATAATTTTTTTCTAGCAAATAT